AACATGTTCTCATGACTTAGTTATGACAAGCTTCAGGGATAGAGTGATGGATGGTATTTCCCTGAATGCTAACTATGTTTAATTATTTTATGTATTTGTAGGGAAATTGTATTTGTTGTTTTGAGAACTGTCTATCCCATACTTTTCTTAATTTCTTAATTAGAAGGGTGAGATTCTCCTCAGGTCACCAGTGAAAAAATTCCTCTCTCATAGCCAGCTAGTTTTCCTTACCCCAGCTTTACACTATTTCTTCCAGAAATGCATTTTCTCTTAGAGTACCTCATATTTCTGGTTTCATCTGGACACAGGCACTCCATTGTGTAACTCTCTTGATTTCCCACAGCCTATCATTTTCTTCAAAAAGGAATGCATCAGTTCAAATGACTCCCACCTCAGCAAATACTCAGCTTTTCAGAGATGGAAGTCACCTTTCTCTTTTGAAATACCTCTTAGTTTCTTCTCCAATGAAAGTGTTGAATACTTTGCCCAACTGTGTGTGCTGTTATGTTCATGTTACATAGAGACACACTTCCTAACTATATTTTACATTTTTATAATAAGTTTTGACGTGGGAAATATTTTGCTGAAATGCATTAAGTTTTCGAAATCTCTGATGAATAAATGAAACAAGTACAACAGTTTATCATTCCTACACAATGTGACAGGATTGAAACTCTAATCTTACCAAGTATCATTCTTTCAGAATAAAAAAATGGCCATTCAAATTTAAAATGCTATGGAACACCAAGTGCCATTCTTAAAAGTGTTTCAAAGCATTGTTAGAACTCCTGGCCAGTGCAAAGTTGACTGATTATATACTGACGCTAGTTGTCAGTGTGTATATTCTGAAGAAACACAGTTCTTATGTCCCTCATCTTGGCTTTATCCAATCATTAGCCAGAATGATATATGAGCTCAGTTAATCTGAACTGCCAAGGACAGTGAAACTTGTACAATATATTCTTGTTCAAAATTCACTCATTAAATTACTATGCTGATGATTTCACAAATATATATATATATATATAAGTGATATGTGGTATTACTTTCCCCAGAGTGTCTGTAAGCAATCTACAGAAGTTTGTGCTTCCAGTATATCTGGTGGATCCTATACACAAGCAAAGAATAGAACAAAGGAACATGGAGAAGGTAAGAATGACAAAAAATGCAAAAGACATTGGTGAGCATATTGCTTTAAAGCAAGAGCACTAAAATATTGTAATAGTTCCAAGAGTGTATGTATTATATAGTAAGGAAACAAAATATAATGAGTCATAATGTATTAGGTTTCTGTCACAGGTAAAACTGGCGATATTGTGAAAACCATCTGAACTATGAGTTGCATTTTGAGACATGCTTCAATAAAAGTAAAAGAGAAATAAAAGAGAAGAAGAGAATATGAACACTGAGACAGGCATTAATTACAAAGAGTCAATAAAGGAACAGGGAGCAGTTGTACTCAGTGGAAAAAAAGACCCTCAGTTACATAAGAGGTGGGAAAAGAGCAGCATTTTCAAAATATGGGAAGCATTTTTAAGTTTCCAGCTGAATGAAGTGTACAGTAAAAATTTTCCAACATTTCTGACTTAGTCACAGTTGGAATGGAATATAATTGAGGAGTGAAGAAGGAATTCCCACGTTATCATGTTTGTTTATCACAAAAGATTCTTCA